CATATTTGGATAGCTTCCGCTGCCCTCAGTGTCGGTTCTGGTAATTGTCACTATCTAACACCATTTAATATTTCAATAACTAGTTTACAGCTTCCGCTGTTCACTCTAATATGCTAATGCTAACATTTTTCAGGCAATACTTATTTCTTGATTTTTTCAGTCTGTTTTAAATTGAGTTTTTCAGTTTGGCTGTACTGTTATTATATTTTATGCTAACTGTCTCGTCAGTGGGGGCTTTGGGACTGGCCCAGGGTAGTTAGGCAGCACTCCATTGTTAGGCAGTTTTAATCTGCTATGCTTAGACCGTTATACCAGGTATATGGTCTATCCCAGCAGCGTGCGCTCCTGTCTTTTGCCAAATAATTGTCCTTTTTTTTACCTTCATCAGTTGTGTCATAAATGTAAGCTAATAAATAACAATATTATACATCTGTCACCATAACGCCACAAGTTACAGCGTGTCGTAATTTTACGGTATTTTACATGGTATTTTCATCCTACCATACAAGGAAATGCGAATTTCAAATATGGAATGATTACGCGCGTAAGTGTTCTCTTAATAATAAAAATAAACATGGCTGCCACCTGGGTTTGACCGGACTCCACAAAAAGAAGTTCGCTGATTCTGTTCTAAAATTTTTGGATTTCGGCATTCCCATGATGTATCCTTGGAAGGAAAAGATGTATAATAATAAGGTTATTATGTGCGCGTCGGTTGATACTCCCGCTGTACTGTCTTCCTGCATACTTTGAGGTATCCTCGTAATAACCTCATCATAATGGAACTTTTGTTTCTTTCTCAAATAATTCAGACTTAGAAAAACATTCAAGAAACTGGCAAATAAAAATCAACTATGTTTTTCTTTGGGTTTTGTACATGTACATGTATGTGTCACTCTTGAAATAATGAAACTGTAACTTTTCAATTTACTATGCATTGATTCACCACAGAAAAATCACTTTGATTGGGCCAGTTTTAGGGTAAAATATTAACCTAGCCCAATGTTTTGCCAAAGAGAATGCCAGGCTCTTGTCGATATTAATTCATGTGAAATTACATCCTCTATTAATTAAATAATTGATATAAAGTGCAATGTATACACCCCAGAAAGTTGGGTTTAGAATTGTTAGCTGCTTCTCTTTAGATTTCCTCTCTGTTATTGTTATGCTTACTTCACTTAATATGATTTTATGGTTACTCACATTTATAGCCCAACAAAAACCGTTAAGAAGCTGAACACATGCAACATATACTGGGATGACGTCAGAAATTAAGGTACATGTACTGATCTACCTTTAGACAATGGCTAGATCTAAACATTTCATTAGTTAACATAGATAGATCAGTCAGGTTTAAAAAGATTTTGGTATCCATGAGTACCATGTTATTGAATTGTGAATCTTGAGTTTATCACCACTGTATATAGATGCTGTCAATGACCTGTTTTGTGAATTCATGACTTTGATTGCATAGCATGCTTTATCCATGTAGTTCTGTGCACTAGATCTAGGCTCGTCAGGATCTTGCAGTTGTGTGATTCTGAATTTCTAATTGTAAAGTTGTTCATAATGCTCTAAATTTGATTTTTTTATAATACATAAAAATATTTTTTTTAACTTGATGCAGTGTAATAATTGACTGCACCATTAAGGATGTAGTAGATATGGTCGGGCAAAACAAAAAAAACTTGTTGAAATTTTTAGCTCCGCTGTCGACTTTGTTGAGCGGAGCTTATCATATGAGTGATTGTCCGGCGGCGTCCGGCGTCGTCTGTGTCAATGTTTTACTTTTTCGACTTCTTCTTGAAAACTACAAGCCTGAATGCTTTGATACGTGGTGTATATGTACCTTGGGTAGACCTCTCTCAGATTTGTTCATTTTGTAATGATATCTTTAGTTCTCTAATTTTGGTGAATATTTTTGTCATTTTTAGTAAAAAGTGATATTTTCGACTTCTTGCTAAAAACCGCAAGTTCAATTGCTTTGATATTACATATATAAGTACTACATGTGGACCTCTCTCAGATTTGTTCATTTTGTAATGATATCTTCAATTCTCTAATTTTGGTAAATATTTTTGTCATTTTTGGTAAAAAGTGATATTTTCAACTTCTTGTTAAAAACCGCAAGTCCAATTGCTTTGATATTACATACATAGGTACTACAAGTGGACCTGTCTCAGATTTGTTCATTTTGTAATGATATCTTTAATTCTCTAATTTTGGTGAATATTTTTGTCATTTTTGGTAAAAAGTGATATTTTCGACTTCTTTTTAAAAACCACAAGTCTGATTGCTTTTATATTACATATATAGGTATTACATGTGGACCTTGTTAATTTCGTGGTGATATCTTCAATTACTTAATTTTGATGATTATTTTTGTCATTTTTGTTGAAAAGTGATATTTTTGAATTCTTGTTGAAAACAGCAAGGTCCTTTGCTTTGATACTATACATATTGTTCATTTTCTAATGATATCTTCACTTCTTTAATTGAAATGTGCATTGCTAACAGCGGGGCTATCTCAGCCGACAGGCTGCTTGTTTTTATTAAGCATATGAATCTATTAATGTTATTGTAGGCCTTGTGGCATCCTATTTATAAACATTGATCACACTGATGTAAAAATAAAAAAAAACAATATTTTTACCTTAATACCAGCACCCATAAGTTGTTTTCACTTGAACATTGATTAAATTACTAGGAATATCACTAATTGAGGGGTGACTCTGTGA